AGTATTGTTTGGGGTTTGCAGTGGAATTTTGGAAAGCCGATTGGGAACAATTCTTTTTGAGCTTTTATTGTGGTTGGTAGTATGGATTTGGAGGGAGATTTTGTACGGTGGAGTAGGTTCGTGGTTGTTTGGAAGGCTGAAGTTGGAGATTTCGGGTATTGTTTGGGGTTTGTAGAGGAATTTTGTAAAAGCGATTAGGAAAAATTCTTTTTGAGGTTTCACTTGGATGGAAGTAGCTTTGTGGTCGGTTGTAAGCTTGAAAAGTTGGATATTTCAGTTATTATTCGGGATATACAGTAGAATTTTGTAAATGTGATTATCAAGTACCTTTCCTGTTGTCTATAAGCTTGAGAAGTTGGATCTCTAGACTATTCTTCAGCATATATAATCAAATTTTGCAAACGTAATTAGGAAATCTTCTTTTTAAGGTTTCATTCGACTGGAAGTAGCTTCCCAGTTGTTTACAAGCTTGAGAAGTTGGATCTCTGGACTATACTTCAAGATACATAATCAAATTTTGTAAATGTAGTTAGCAAAGCTTCTTCTTAAGTTCTCATTTAGCTAAACTGCTCACCCCAAGGAACTAGGGCAATCTTTCATCAGTCTTGACAAAACTTGACTACTGGTAATAGCTTCTATTTACGAATGGAATCAATAGATGCAATAGATTTCTGTTATTCGTGTAATTTACAGTACCCAGAATTACTATATTCAATTAATGCGTTCAGTCGACCATAAAACCTCGTGTCTTCTTCACTATTGATTTTCCTCTCGGGCATGTTAGAACGAACCGTGCGCGCTAACTCGAATTTTCGTACCAACATGTCGACGAAATCACGTGTTTCCTTTACCAGAAATAGAATAACACAGTGATCTGAAAGGCACTTTAAGCGAGATCAGTGTTCACTGCGAAAACTGGCCAACCTTTCGAATTAGAAATCATTTTTCTATCCTCAATCCTACGCGACCGTCATCGACTCGTTTTTCTCGGCAATTATCGATCGATCATCGGACACAAGATGGACCGCTGTTATACCGACTCCGAGGAGGAGGTCAGTGCCAGCTTTAGAATATATTCTCGCGTCGATCATTTGGAACGTCATTCGCTGCAGCCATGATACCACGGATAAAGAGCATGTCAATAATCAAATCGTTCCTTGCGTCGGATTCTTGATTAACTCGAATATGACCTGTACACGTTGTTTATTTCATCGAATCTATTAATACGTTGACCACGGTCATCGATGAAAGCTTCAAAATTACAAGAAAATAATTATAATTTACAGATAGTCAAATAAATCTGTCCAGTAGCGTAAATTAATAGCGTAACGTAAGAATTGTGATGCCAAATAATTAGTAATTCATTTTTACTTTTCATAGGTAGAACATTGATATGATATGAACTTCAAAATTACAAGAAAATAATTGTAACTTATGAGATAGTCAAATAAATCTGTTCGGTAGCGTAAATAACAATATAGCGTAACATAAGAATTGTGATACCAAATAATTAATAATTCATTTTTATTTTCCATAGGAAGAACATTAGTAAATCATTAAATATGATAATGCCACGTTAACCTGTCGAAACCAATGAAAATTCTTGTACCACAGTATGATTCAAACACCTTTAATGTCATTATAATATTTACATTTATTATGAGTTTCATCCTCTTCGTTGTCTTTATGGCTCCCTTTACTATGTCATAAATAACTATAACATTCTTGTAAGGTTAACCAACATTTGTCTTACATCCCAACTGAAAAAGAAGTGTTCTTTAGTAACGTGATTAACTACTAGACTTTATCAATGTTAAATAGTAAACTTCATTATTTAACCCTTGCAAGTAGCCATTTTTATCTATAAAATGGATTTTCATTGTATTATTTTATACATTCGACTTTATGCCTACTATTAATGTATCAAAATTACATTTATGCATAGTCAAATGAATAAATTAACACATTGCGTACTGGTAACGAGAAATCTCGTTTTCATATAAAGACACTTAGCTATGCAACTTCGCTAATTACCATTGAAGAAAATATAAAATTTCGAATTGATTATCTATTTAAAATATATTACATAACAATATGACATCTGAGTTTCTCTATGTAAGTTGACCTCAGTAAAAATTGCCATCCGCACAATTCAGTTTTCTGAAAATTAGCCAATAAATAAGTACGTGTTGATAAATAAAAAAATATCGGTATGTAAAGGTTGAAACACTAACTTCTTAACCCTTTGCACTCGAGAGGTGACTCTCACTCACCACTTGATTTCACACAGTAAAACTATAAAATTTGATATTTAATATTATATTTCCTATAATGCATCATTTTGAGAAATATTGAAATAAAATAGCTTCGATTTTATCTCATCAGAAAATGTTGAAATATTTCTAGTGAAAAACTTCCCACTGCAAAGAGTTAATAAAATATGATGACGACACGTATACGCAGAATTACGTGGAAAAATGACGAACATTGAAACTAATGCATTTGGCATTTTTCTGAACTTATATATGAAAGTTTGGAAGGCGAAGAGAGTATAGATACCCTTTACGATGCGTCATAGTCCATTGTTCGCTCGAGTGACTAACTCAGGGGTAGCGAACGATCGAGATTCGTCATCTTCATCTTTTCCAAAATGTTTTAATTATTACACTCACTTCATGGTCGTGGACGATGAGTGACCTCGCCAGTGAGCTCGAATATTTCTTAACCTGAAAAAATATTTCAGTTAGAATAAATATCTTAATTATGGCAATGCATTCATGGTCGAATTATTAATCATGAAATGAAGAGTAATTATTTTCAAACATCTTACCTGCGATGTTAGGATATATTAAATCAGTCTAGTACTAAATAATTATTAAATAGTTACTAAATAATTTCAAAGCACATCTGGTAGGACATAATGTTTAGATTAAAAATGTAATTCGCATAACATATGTATAACTTTCAATTTTTCCGAACCCTTTATCAACGTTTCAGTTTATTTCAACTCGCAATTGGCAATTTTGAAAAATACAAATATTCATATTTGCTAGTACTAAAGCTATCAGCTGAAATTGATCCATTTTAGAATTTTTAGTTTGCAAGTATTTAAAAGACAGTTTTGATAAAAACTTAGAAACAAGTGTCACTCCAATTACTCGATAGTTTCTGAATATTATCACTTCAATATTAATAAATACAACAAATAACAACATAAAATTATACATAACAAATAACATTATTATTCTAATATTATTTCATTCTTTTAATATTAACCCTTTGCACTCAAAAGGTCTCTGCTCTGCAATAAAACTATAAAATTCGATAATATTAAACTGTAATAAAACATCAACGTACCAAATATTAAGCTAAAACAGCTTCGCTCTTCAATTTACTAATTTCTTAAGTTAACCTCAAAAAGTATCATCCGCATCTACTTATAAAACGTGAAATATTTCCAACAAAATATTTCCAACATTTAAATACTTACATCCGAAACGGTTTCCCGCTAATTCGTCGGAACGGATGCATATTCCAACGTGACGAAGAGGACGCCATCTTGGTAGAGATTTCTCGAATTCCTGATCGGATCCATGACCTATATCCCGTTCGATTTACGCCTCCGTGTTCCGTGGAACGGTGTATTTGTTTATTTCCCGGGACGGATATCCGCGAGGCGACCTCGGCGTCGGTCGAAAATGATTTGCCACGTGAACGTTCGCCGATTCGCCGTTCCGCGGAAGCCGGAGTCGTGACGCGGACCAACGGGAATAGCGTCCGCGGGCTCGAAATAACCGTCGCCGGAGCGCTGCGATTTCCGTGTATATCACGCCCGTCGCGACGATGGATTGTCTGCCTTTCAGTCGAGCTTCAACATTAAACCTACCGAGCAGTTAAATTGACATTTTGAAATTTCTCTATGGAAACTCCAAGTATCTGTTGAGATTTCAATCGATTTACAATTCAGTTTGCTGCTGAAACTGTTTCTTGAATGATTTCTCAGAGAAATATTTATTATATTAATAATGGCAAAGGAGAGAGTAGGTTTGGGTAATTTTGACTCGTCTGGTAGTTTTAGTGAAACTATCCTATGTTATCGGTTATTATTCCGTAAATATGAAAGTGAGACAATCTAAATAAACTTCAATATACTTTATTTATTAATGAATTGGAATGAAACTTTGGATGTATCTTTTATGTAACTTTGAATATGTTGCTTTTAAAGTAATCTATGTTGACCAGTTTTAACCAGTTAACTATGGAATTTCGTTGGAAAAACCTCTGGTTCTGCGTGCAGTAAAATTGAAAAATGGAGCGTGTACTCGTCGAACGCAGGACGAATGCACGTAGAGTATATTTTAATGAAAGATCGAAGCGAAACAAAGAAGAATTACATGCTTATGTGGAAAACTATACCTCTCCATAATTGCAACCTTGAATGTTGAGTGTTGCAATTATCCAATGTTCACACTGTAGATGCACATGCTGAAGCCTCAAATCAGATTCTAACTTTTCAACTTATCGATAGTCTGCCAACTCTACCTTTACACTATACTTCTCCATAATTGCAACCTTGAGTGTTGAATATTGCAATTATCCAATGTTCACACTGTACATGCAAGTGCTAAAGCCGTAAAAGAAACTGTACTTTTTCAACTTATCGATAGTTTACCAACTCTAACTTACACTATACTTCTCCATAATTGCAACCTTGAGTGTTCAGTGTTGAGTGTTGCAATCATCCAATGTTCACATAGTAAATGCACATGCTAAAGCCTCAGACGAGATTCTAACTTTTCAACTTATCGATAGTCTGCAAACTCTACCTCTACACTATACCTCTCCATAATTGCAACCTTGAGTGTCGAGTGTTGCAATTATCCAATGTTCACATTGTAGACGTACATGCTGAAGAGCCGCAGATGAGACGCGCCCGTTTCGAAACTCGGATTTCTCGATGCACGAGATTTGCACGTGGGCCGCGTGTGAACATGCGATTTAGCGGTTACGAACGCCGCGAAAAATCTCGCGCGATTCACGAACGCCAGGAAAAGCTTGGGAAGAACGCGGGAACAACGGGTTGCAACATTAGTGTCAACGACACGCGACCGACATTCGACCATCCGAACACGAAACACTTTCCTCGGTTGGTGGTCCGACCAAACGATTTGGCAGTTGCCAGTGAATTAGTCACGGAACGGTATTTGCGTGCAGCATTCCGTTTCCTCTTTCCTGGACGCCGGCCACTTGCTTTGAAATAAGAGAGTGCGTTGCGTTTTCCCTTTCCTTCGGCGTTCCGTCGGGTCGATGCGAGTTTTCACCGGTTTTTCGTCGGATGGGAGTGAACAGTTTTTAACTGTTCGCTGGTTGAAGTTAACACATTGCGCACCGGTAACGAGAAATCTTGTTTTTGTAAAGACACTTAGCTATGCGACTTCGCTAATTACCACAGCACTGAGAAAAATATAAAATTTATTTCGAATTGATTATGTTTAAAATATATTGCATAACAATATGATATCTGAGTTTTTCTATGTATAGTGATATAAGTTTAGTTAATAATTTCAGTTTTCTGGAAATTAGCCGGTACGCAATGTGTTAACGCGTTGAATGCCATGGGGGTCATCGGTGACTCACAACGAAATTGAATTATTATAGTTTACTTAGTTAAACTATGATTATTCGAAAAGAATTGTGTATTGTAAATAATGGTATCTAATGCTCTTAAATTGTATTAAATCAAATCATGAATGAAATTAACAGTAAACATAATATTTAATAGAATAAACCCCTCTTAAATAATAATAAACCAAATTATGAACAAAATTAACAGTAAAGAAAATATTTGATAGAACAAGTCTTCCTTAAATTCTGTCAAATCAAATTATGAATAAAAGTAACATTAATAAAGTTATCTCATTGTCAAACGAAGAAAAAGCAACGATTGCTAACATGAAACTGATGTCGCGCCAGCCGTCGAGAAAAAGAATTGTTCCCAAAATTCCACGGAATTTCACGACGGTCGAAATTGTAGCTGGAGAGGCTTCGCTTGTCAGTCATCGTGAGTATTGTGACATTTAGTATTACGAGGCCGGCCGCGCCGAAGATATTCCAAGCATGAGCACAAAAAGAGGTCAACGGACACTCGGAAGGACTCAATTTCTTTATCCGTGACCTTGGTTAGGCGCCAGCGCTCACCCCTGTCAAGCGGGAGCACATAATTTCCTTTAATATTCGCGCGGCGGACGGTCGAATCGTCGGCGCGATAAAATCACAAGGGAACTTCGATTCTAAACAACACTCGGGAATGCGTTTCTCGTTGGAATTCCTGTTCTCCAACTTTGGAATTTAACGCAGACGGGGAGGTTATTTTCGACGGACCTCGATCAATTTCTCGCGTTCAATGACTCCGCGATCATTCATTTAACCCTATCGCGACGATGCTATTCGAGGATGTGAAACATCGTGGTAAAGAAAACGAATGGATTTTAGAATTTTGTGAATGGTATTAACGATTTTATAAAGATGAAATACAATAGAACCTTTAAGAATTATAGAACTTATTAATTAACATGCGTTATTAAATGATATTGCGAGGATTATTTTTCGAACATAACCTCTTGTTCTATGGTGTCTTGCAGCTGTATTCGACGAAATTAATTTATCATTAACAATCCATTAGTAAAAGAAGAGAATTTGATACTTAATTTATATCTACGTTCATTTTACAAACAATACAAACACAGTATTACAAGAGGTTAACTTTCACTTCGGCAGCCGCCATTTTGAAACCTTCCAAACACTTCTTGCAGCTGTACTCGACGAAATTAATTTATTATCAACAATCCATTAGTAAAAGAAGAGAATTAGATACTTAATTTATATCTACGTTCATTTTAAAAACAATACAAACGTAATATTCAATCTATATCAAAGAAAAAGTAGTTTATAGCACAAGAAGTTAACGTCGGCAACCGCCCAAAGGGTTAACATATTTTTAAACATCAATCAAACCGAGATTTGTAACTTGCGAAAAAGAACAAGGAATTCGATTTTGTCATTTTAGTTTGGATCTGTGTTACACATGTCTAAAATGTTACATTAACCCTTCGCGAACGAAGATTCTTTGAAATGTACAAAATATTCAAATGAAGATAAATTATATATCAATTACTTAAATGATAGGAAAAACAAAAACTACGTGCTCTGTTGGTGTTTGAGTAATCAAATTATTTGTTAACTTAATCCTCGAAACATGAAAACTTCATCTCGCCGAAATGTGGACAATTCGTTCGCAAAGGGTTAATGTACGATTAGCAATTAAACGGTAGACCAAAAATCCCGCATTGTCGCGGGGCCGGCGCGCAACGTGTTAACATTCTTTTTTCGTTCCGGACAACGCTCGCCGGCGAGGATTTTATTTATAATGCTTGGTTCCTCGCGCGACGAAGGAATTCAGCCGCGCCGCGCCGTTATAGTTTTCAGTTATTTCGCCATTCCCGTTTCCCGGCGGGGTACCGCCAGCGGGAAGACGATCTAAATCGTGGCCCGGTGTCATCTCGCAAGTTTTATGAGTCGAATCCGCCGCGGTTATGTAATTCCGTTGACGCGGATTCGCCTAATTACTTCGAGATCCCGCGGCGAGTGCCAACGGCTGTCGAATCGCTGCGCAGTTCGTAATCATCGGGAGCCGACCGGTAACGCATTGCTTGCCGGAAATGAGAAGTCTCGCTTTTTTATGGGAATCTTTGTCTTAGTAGCTTTGCTGACAACTAGATTGTTGAAGGAAATATTCAGTTTTATTAGAAATGATTGTTTGAAGATTATTTGAAAATTATTTGAAAGTTTATGGAATGATAAGGTATTTGGAGATTTTTCGTAAAATCCGGAAATAAGAAATCTGATTTTTATAGAAATCTCTACCTTAGTAGCTTTGCTAACTACTAGATTGTTGAAAGAAATATTCAGTTTTATTAGAAATGATTATTTGAAAATTTATGGAATGATAAGGTATTTGGAGATTTTGCGTATAGTTGACAATCACCAGCCTCGCATTCCAATTGCGTGCGGAAACGAAAAATTTGATTTTTATAGAAATCTTTGCCTTAGTAGCTTTGCTAACTACTAGATTATTGAAGAAAATATTCAGTTTTATTAAGACTGATTTAATTTTAAATTTATCAAATAATAAGATGCTTGAATACTTTATATGTAGTGACGCAAGTTCATCTGATTGCAAATCACCAGCCTCGAATTCCAATTTTAATAATTATTTTCTAATAATTAACCGGTACGCAATGCGGTAACACTAGGTTTACCGAACGTTTATATTCTCTTTCTGTCACTCGAAGTGGCTTTCATCCATGCATCTCATAATTTCATTTATAAGACCATTGTGTATAACTGTGTAATATTTCTTAAGTTGTTTTTTAACACTAGGTTTACCGAACAAGTCAATTTCACCGATTTCAAACTTGATGAAAGAAATTACAGAAACTGTTTATATTATTTGTTTGCCACTGGTACTATTTTTTATCCAAACATCTCATAATTTCATTTATAAGATCATTGTGTACAATTATGTCGTCTCTTACGTCGTTCTTTCAAAGAAAACGTGATCTATTCATAAGTAAACCTAGTGAACACTATTTCTACCGAAAGTGTCAAAAAACTAAACTTCCAACTTAAAATTCTATCCTCACTTGAATCAATCATTCCTTAATTGAATTTTGGACATTCCCTGTAGTTAAGTTAACAATCATCATTGCAAAAGTCGGAAATTCAATTCAGCATGTACGACTATACTTAGAAAATAATTATAACTGAAAATCTCAGGTATCCCTCAGCGTCTTCGGTGGAAATAGTCTTAAGAGGATCTCCGTCTCGCCTCTAATTAGTCAAACCGATACGTCTTCTTTCCGGCGGGGATTATGATTAGCACGATTTATTCAGCGCTCCGAAATGCAACGTAATTTTAGACCCGCCGAGCCGGTTAAACCGAGTTACACGCTAGAATACGTGATTTTGGCGCTGACTCCGCGCGCGCTCGCGCGCGCGAGACTTCTCAGGAATATCGTCCTGTGGAAAGTTCTATCATTTTGTAACAGACGTCTGTTAGCCGTTCGAGCCATTTCGAGCTAGCGAGATCTTTAGGGAACGAGTTCGCGTTGGAATTGCCGAGCAATTAGTGCGAATTGTTTGCAGTTCTCCTGATGGAAGTTGGAACAATTTCCTTGAGATTCGGAGGGGTTTCCGGTCTTTCTTCTGATACACTGGTGTTCACAAGTTCTAGATCGGTTTTAGTATTGAATTCATGTTACAACTATATGACACTGTCATTAACACTAACGCTACTGAGAAATTAAAAGAACTGTGTGAAATTTCTATAGAAACTCGAAGAACGCATCAATTGAGAGTTTAACTTGCTCTATGATTTCTTTCCTAATTGCGGTTAAAGATGTTTTATTGTATAATTCTATATCGGTTTTGGTATTGAGACCATGTTACAACTATATGACACTGTCATTAACACTAACACTACTGAGAAATTAAAAGAACTTTGTGAAATTTCTATAGAAACTCGAAGAATGCATCAATTGAATTTTTCATTTTATCATGCTGCGTTCAATCAAATGACTAAAAGTTGCCTCTCGAATGCAAACAATTAATAACTCTTGCTTCGTATTTTCGCTATAGAAAGGATAAGTGATAAAACGTTGAACTTACAATTCATTTAACAAAGAATTCCAAAAGCTTACAAAATTTAAACGCATTCCTCCGTTCGTAAAAAATTCCAGTGTTTTCATGAACAGAAGTATTCGCTGTATAAACGATTCCACTACTTTACGTGTTTCGGAAATCTTCAGTCTCACGTGTTTACCAAGTCGAAATACTCGGGCACTCGAATATTTCCTCGAATTGAAGAACTGAGGAAATGTTATCATTTGAATGCACCGAAGATGAAGCTGAAATAAAATAACAAAGTGCATATAACATGCAGTTGAATTTATGAAGTTAGAAATTGTAAAAATTACTTTGTACCAATGTCAGCAAGAGAAAACGACAATAAAATAATTCGATGAATATTTTATGCATATAACATGCAGTCGATGAATATTTTAATCGAATAAAAACGAAAATGTTTTTCGGTGCGATTGATTCGATTTCCG